GCTGCTGCTGACTGCTGCTGGTTGTATTGGTGGAAATGGGAGCGTGGGGTTGTTGCCGTGGTTGTGATGGTAACTTGTTTGGGGTTGAGGGCTAATGATGACAACGATGGGAATAGTGATTGGCGACGTTGCTGACGAAGATCGCGGCAGGGTGCCGCTGGTGCCGGTGATGATGATGATGCTGCTGATGCAGCTGCTGCTGATGATGATGAGGAGAATGACGACGACAGTGATGAGTCGATGCGGTATTCGACGGTGACTTTCACGATGCCAGTACTGGTGCTCGTATTCTTCTTATCCATGACGGACGTGGTGAATAATCCGGACCTGATACCATCAATTGGTATGTTTGCAGTCGCTCTCCATACTGTTGTGGTTGATATCACTGATATCACTGACACTGTTGCGGTTGATGACGGTTGATAGTTGGTTGTGCTGCGGAGTACTTGGGCCTTCAGGCGAAGCAGCAAGCGGAAGTGGCAAACGCACAATCCACTCTTGCGGATTTCGAAGCGAAGCAGGTGATCCAGAGCAGTGCTTCTGCAGCGACGGCTGTTTCTGCAAATTGAGGGAGCTGTGCTCAGTGGGTTGCAGGAGAAGGCAGCTGCACAGCTGCAAATGGTCGAGGGACAGGCCCGGATTTGACACGAGATGTTAGGTGTAGCCGGTGCCGCAAGTGTTCGCTGCCTCTGTCCAGGTGGCTCAATGCCAGGAAGACAAGGCGACGAAGGCCTCGAAGAGTCAAAACATCAGACCGAAGCACCAACGCAGTGGCTTTGACAGGACCAAACCCAGGCCGACGCGAATGTGTCGAGCTTAATCAGCTTGCCCATCATATGGCGTATGTGGTGCTTGTTGGTTTTATGTAGGGCCTCAAGCTCCACGGCATAAGCGCTTTAAACTTCAAGAAGCAGTATTAGTTTGTTTGCATCATTTTGCATCGTTTCGTATTTTGTGAGAAGGAGAGAATGTGGCAAGGCGAGGCTTCAGGAGCGAGAGGGTTCCCTGGGCCTCGTTCGCGACACCTGCAAGGCGGCCGTGGCAGAAGCAACGCAGGCTCTGCAGCTTGCACAGGACGGGACCCCTTTTGCATAAGAGTGCAAGACATAAGACTTTTGCTTCCTCAGCGCGCTTTCTTCTCCAGGAGAGTGAGCAGAGCTTGGGCGCTGAAAAAGATGCCATCCTGAAAGACCAAGAAGAGTCTCAGAAGGCCTTCGTCCCTGCAAGATCCTGCAAGCCCGATGTGTTTTCTGCGTTGCTCTCGGCAGTTTCTGACGACCACCTGGGAAGCCGTGAAGAGTGGCGCCTTCTCAGGCCAGGAGCGCGGAGCTAAGCGGAGCCGACCCCTTTGACCCCGGCCGCGGCTCGCGGCTCGCGGCTCCGAGGTGGCGAGAGCGCAACAAGGCCATAGAAGCGTCGATGAAGGCGCGAGCTGCGGCTCCTCACGAGCCTTACAAGAGCCAAGCTCTGGTGCAGATCCTTGACGGCTTCGGCTTGGACGCCAGCCTCAAGGTACTTGGCGGGTGCTTGGTGGTGGCGAGGACAGCAACCCATACGTAGAAAGGCTTGCACCGTCTGCAGGCGGCGCTGCCCACAGCCTTGAAAACGAAGCCTGGGGACCGCAAGAGGCGAGGCATCGGCCCAAGTTCCTAAGTCTGCTCTTAGAAGCTGGACCTTCATGGAACCTGAAGACCGATGTGTGTAATGCAGATTCTCAAGTTGTCGAGTCCAAGCAGCCCAGAAGGTCTAGACTGCACATAAGACGAGATGGATGAAACCTTGTTGGCGACAGCGTGCTTCGATGGTGGTGCTTCGTTCGGGCCACAGGGTTGACTTTACCATCACAGACTGCCCTGACCTGACAGTGATGTCACAGGCCCCAAGCATGACATCTCAAGTCTTGAAACCGGAAGTGTCATGGTGGTGTGAGCAGGTTTAGCCTTTGCGCAGTGCAGTTTGCGGAGGCTCCGCTCTCTGCCCTCGAAGTTGTTGAAAGGCTGATTGTGATGAGGGATAATTTGGGTTGGCATCGCAAGGTGGCCATAACCACCCGGCTGCAGAAGCTGCAGGAAAAGGTGGACAACTTTGAGCAAGAGGTCTGCACATCGGGCCAAGAAGAGTTGCTGAAAAGACATACTCAAGATTTACTCTTGCCAAAGCTTGATCCTGAACACTGTCAGGCCATTGCACGGTCGCAGGCCGTGACGGCAGCCAAGGAGGCTCTCGAGCAAAATCACTGCTAAGAGCGGCAGACGAAAGGCGCATGCTGCCGCTAGGTGCTGGCATCTTCCGAAGAGAAGCTTCAGGTTGCCAAGGTCTTGGCCTCAGAACCCTAGGCCCTAGACATGTAGGGCTCGACTGTTAAACGGTTTTCAAACATGCTGCGGGTCTTTGTGCGGCTTCCGACCGGCAAACCAGTTTGAAGTGGGAATCGCTTCCGATTAGCACTGCGGCGGACTGCGTGACACGCCTGCATCGCAATTTAGTATTCGAGGAGCAAGGCTGATTGATGATGGTCATTCTGTGGCTGAGGCTGAGGCAGTGTCAGCGAAGGACCGGCTTCTGTACTTCATTCATCCATGGAGATGTAAGTAAGTTTTTCTTCGTAAGTGCTGGAGTGGAAGGGCTCTGATTCTCTGAGTTCCAGGATGCACTGCAGGCTGCTGTCCACAGCAAGGCTGAAATCGAGAAAGAGATCAAGGCAAGGAGAGTTTGATGTTGCGAATGCTATGAAGGCAGCCGGTGTGTAGATCACAGGGCCTAAGGCCTAAGTGTCAGACTGCGGCTTCCTGTGGCTCTTCAGCAGAGCCTGCTGGATGGCTCTTCGTCGATGCGGTTCACTCTGAGCCTTCTTGCCGCTCTGACATCGGGCAGTGATGTACCGTGGGCCCACGAGCTCTACGATGTCGAGTTCATTGATCTGAACCAAGCCCCGCTAACATCAGTCGCTTGCCTCAGACGAGTACTGAGGCGGACAAGATGGAATATTGATTGCCATTGCATTTGTTAGTTTTTTTCCGGTCCGAAGGTTCCGAAGTCTCAGCATGAAGCTCTGATGAAGATGCTTGGTGACAGTTACACGGTGATGCCGGTCAGCATCTGGTTTGCAAGTCAAGTCAAACCAAAAGCTAAGGATCTTGCATGTTCCGGACACCCACTTCTCACGCGAGTCTGATGCTAGCCCGTGGTCCGATCGGATGCACAGGAACGTCGGGTAAGATGTACTGCGTCGAACGAACAAATAATAACTTGTTGTTATTGTTTGGATCCACCTGCACCATCAGTCACTAAGCGCTTGTCACATGTTTTCAGTCCTTGGCACAGTCCCTTGCAGTCCAAATGAGCTAGGCTGGTGGAGTACCGGAAAGGAAGCCAACTTGGTCAGAAAGATGTTCTGCCACAGGGCCTTCGCTGCGCCGCAGCGATTCGACACGCGAGTGCGGACCAGCACAGGTCCCGTGGTGCCGTGGGCTCTTTTTGGGACTCGCCGTCTTTGTATCGTTCAATTCCCAGTATGTGCACCTTCCCTGCCCGGCAGAACAGGATCTGTTTAAACTTGAGAAGGGATGCAGTTGAAGCTAAAGGAGTGGGGGCCACTTGGCATGTTTGTCACGCAGCATCCATGAATGGGAACAGTTGCCGAGAGTCGATGCAGTCTTTCTTGCCAACACGCAGCAGGACATGAGTTACCCTGCTGTTAGACCCCAGTCCAAGGATTTTCAGCCTTCATCAAAGTGGAAACATGTCATGTGGCAAGCTCCTGGAAGCTGGTGCTCTACCCCGAAGATCCTTGAAGCCTTGAAGATCCTTGAAGCTTTTGATTGCAAGCCTCCAGATTTGTTAGCGCCGAGTTTTCAGGATTTTAGGGTTTAGGGCCTAGGGCTTCGTATGGTTTTTGGGCATGTGCTTGGGTTGTTGGTGCGAGAATCTCCGCGGCGCCGGTACACGAACCCGTGGTGCTCGAATCAGGCGCTTTCAGTGTGAGAATCTTCGGTGTGCGAATCCCGCGCGGCCGCGCGCGAATCCGGGGTCCCGGTGTCCGAATCCTTCGGCCAGTGCTCGGTTGTTTCCAGCGTGAATCGGTCTTCCCAGTGCGCTCCAAGCGGCAGGTTTCGAATTGAAGCAAGCGCTTCGGTTTGCTGAGTCGCCACTTGGCAAGCTCTTGGCATTTCTTTTGTTGTACGACCATGGAACACAGCACGAACCGTCCCGGCTTGGGTTCAGGATTTGTTGGGGCCGTACTGGTAGTTGATTTGTTGGATCTTCAGAATCTGCAGGTTCGGTGTCGCTTCTATGGGGTCATGCTTTGCAGCACGTCTTAGATGATACCGAGAGAGATCGAGGAATGTGTGAATTGCAAGGAAGATGTAAAACACACATATAGGGATTTCCTCACATTTTGCCGATCGTTTTGAATGAGTTTGGCTAAACACATGTAATGATATTGTTGGAGTGCATCTTGACAACGCCACATTCGCATCCTTGGCCAACGCGGCAGCATCGACGCGAATCGCCGAGCCCAAGTTTAGGACGGCCAAACATCTTGTAGCATCTTGTCAACATCCATTCAATCAGCCAGTCAGCGGCTTTCCGAGATTATGCTTTCAGTCTCAGTAGTCACAGCACAACTTGAACATCAACGTAGTCTCCACCGCTTCGCACTCGTTATGATTCTGCAGCGTCTGCATGGCCGGTATCCTTGTGCTGCTTCTAGCAGAAGTCCTTTTGAATGTGTATTCTGATGGAGCGACTTCTCAACTTCAAAGCTTGTCAGTTGCGCCAATCGACATCCACAGGCCACAGCCTTAAAAGTGCCAACAGGGCTTGGAACAGCCGACGTGGCAAAAGTGATTACAGCCTGCAGGATCCCCGTGGATGTTGTGGCGATCGGGGGGGACTTGGTAAACTTCCCCTCCCAGAGCCTTGGTTGCCTCATTATCATCCGCAAGCCATTGGTCTGGAGCTGCGTTTCCTTGTCCTCAGACCAGAGTGGGCTCAAGTTTTGAGTTTCAGCTGTTGGTTGGAATGCATAGTCTGCATCATCCTCGCCAGAAGCACAAATGCCGCAGTCTCTTTCAGATGTCTTCGCAGGGAGCATTTTATGAGCTCTATGCGTAGTTGCAAATCTAACCTGGCAAGTAAAAGTGCAGTTTTCCGAAGCAAGTGGGTTAGCCCTGAGCCAGGTCATCTGTGGATGATCTGTACAAGGAGCTGACCAAGCCGCTTTTCATTTGATTACTTGCTTTCTCTGTGCCTGCCGTAAGAAAGCCTCCTTTCGTGTAACCTACTAAGTCTGAAGTCTGATGTGCGGAGGGGAAGCATTTGCACGCAACTCTTTTTTCGATAGGGTATCACCCGGTGAAAGAAGGGCAGGGGGGCGTGCGGGAAACCCTGTCATGCTGACTTGAAGTAATTATAGTTGTTTCAACAAACGAAGCTGTACATGTAATTGCTCCTCTAGCTCTGAGGTTACAGGTCCCGTTCGTCTATACCGCTGGAAATCATGATTGGCATCTGGAAAAGCTCCATGACTGGGAAAGGACCTTCGATGCGCAAGAAGCGCCCAATGAACTCGGGCTGCTGATGAAGCTTTATGAGGCGAGTGCACGAGGACTGCAGAACAATCCCTCACATCTAAGTTTAAATGTTTGATTCGATGTGATTTTATCTCGTCCCTTTTCAGTGCTAGAGTTCCCCGTGCCCATCATATCACTGGAGTGCCGGCCCATCCCAGGCCAGAGTATCCCTGGAGAGCAATGCGAGTTATGTTTGAATCTTGAGCTCGAAGTGAAAAAAGTCATGTGCAATCGGGGCAGGTCAAGAGTCACATGAAATCACAGGAGACACAATTCCTAGCAGCCCTAGCAGATGAAACATACATGATCCTCCGTGTGGAAATTGTATTGATTCCCTCCCTTCGGCCCTCCGATGATTCCCGCCCCTCTTTTCACCCCCTCCGCCGCACCCCGCTCATGCTGATAATGCGCGCCCTTTGGTGAATGGCACTCCATAATTGGCAAAACATCGCCTCGCGCTGCCTGGGCGGTGGCGAGCGGCCGGGTGCTTATGAGCCGGATGCCCTCCTGGGGTCGTCCGCGGGAAAAGCCAAAACATGCGTGTGTTGCCGCGTGAGCCTCCAAGCGAGGTTCCGGCGGATTGGTGGAAAAACGCAGGTCCGATGAAGCAGGGTCGGCACTGCCGGCCGCCCCATTGCTAAAGCAAGGCTTGCAAGCTAAACTCGGATGAGGCTCGACTCACAGGGCGCATGCACCCGGGGACCGAGCGCTGCCCGACACGGGCGGGCAGCGCAGGTAGCAGCTCGCACAAGCCGACAGAAACTTGAGCCTCAAACCGCAAACCATTTGGCACGTCATTTAGCAAGGACGGGGGTGCCTTCTCCCCCCTCCCCAGTGTCCCCAGGGCCCCGCTGATGCTGATGATGCGCAACTCTTTTGCGATACCGACACCAATTCCAAGACACGCACATCATCACCCTGCGCCTTATAGGCCGCTGTGGCTGTGGGGCAAAAAAAAAGAGTTGGGCATGCCTTGGGCTTGAATTGGATGACCTACTGGTAGATATGACACCCCCTTCCCCCCTCCCACCCCTTGGCCCTGGCCCCTTCCCAGCCGCATCCCCGCCCCTGTGGTTTCGTTGTTGTGGCGGGGTCTGCACCCTGAGGCTTTGGTTGGCCTGAATCGGAGTGCGCAACACGTGTAACACAAGGACCACTTGTCACGATTAGTGACTCAGCTACTGTTACGGTTACTCTTTGTCTTCCTTCTTGCTGTGGCACCGGTGATACTGCTCATGACGTTGTGCTGCTCTAGACGGCGGCGCGAGTCGACAATCGGATCATCTTTGACATCATGCTCAACATCATCAGTGTCGTCGTCATCATCATCAGTAGCATCAAAAGAATAGCTGCCACCATCACCATTGCCCATTGTAATTCATGTCTGACGTGGCAATTTACTGTGCAGATTGCCGGGGGGGGGGGTGGGGGGATACCATGGCGGGGGGTGGGGGCGCGGGAGACGAGAGCAGATATGGGAGGCCACTGGGTGCAGGGCCGGCGGGCGGGAAAGTCTGCCGAGCCGCTGGGTGCCGAGCCGGCGAGCGCTGTGGGGCTTGGAGAGGTCTGTGGAAGCAAAGGACGCAGATTTGCACAGGATATGGGCAAGATCGTGAACATTAGCGGTTATCTACTAGTAGTTATTTGGGTTTTAGTTTCATGTTCATGTTATTGCAACACCTCATCAAGCTGCAAAAGTGGGTTCTCACCGCTTTTTCGCAATTGCACAGACTATGTGATATTCTTACGGCATCTTAGTGGTTGGGTGTTAACGACGATATATGCGTCTAAATTGTACTGCATGACTAGATTGGTAACAGAGGCTGATACCGCTCCAACTGTGGATTCGTTCTTCGTGAAAAATTGTGCACAGCAGAAAACACAACCACCAGAGGGGGGGTTCACCAGAATTCTGTGCCACATCCACACGGACATCGACATCCCACGGGTACACTAGTGTTACTGCTCCGGATGGCAAGCCGCGCTGTAGGACTGGCTTTCCCCAACTTCTCAGATCCGAGATTCGGCTCGGCGATCCTGCATTCCGGTTTGCGCATAATTTGTGACTCAGTTCAAACTAAAGCCGGATGAGGGGTGCTTTCTTTGGCCTGGACTGCAGACTTGAGCAGGAGGATGTAAGTGCATGCTGGTTTGTGGAAAGCCCAATGCCTTTTGAAGCACAGGCATCGATAATTCAAACTTCCAGATCGACAAGGATCAGCTACGCTTCTTCCAGGACATGGTAGCGACGGGGCATCTTTTTGTCCTGCTGATGCACATTCCAATCTTTTTTCCTGGTGTTACGTTGGGGCCGGAAGATGTCATGGGCCACCCGAGATGGAGCACCGCAGTTGACCGGAATGCGGAGATCGAAGGTCGTCTAAAGTGGCCCAAACAGGCAAGCCAAAGCACTTTCGAGTTCATCGAGGCGGTCCAAGCTGCAGACCGGCTTGTGGCAATTCTCACGGGACACACGCACCAAGATGCTGTCGTGCCCGTGCCTTGTCCCAGGGCTTCGACGTGCATGGCGAGCAGGCCCAGGCAGTTCACGACCCGTGCGAACTTTCAGGGGGGAGCTCGCCTGATCTTCATCCGTTCGACGGAAGGCACACAGGTCGCAGAGGGCATTTCGCCGGATCTGCTTTTCAACTCCTCCAAACTTGCATGTGCACTTGTTTCCCTGGGATGTGTTGGAGCGTACGTTTTAGTCACGCGGCCTCGCAAAGCCACTGGGTTCGAAGCAAGAGACATGTCCGACATCGCCGAGCAAGGAGCAGGCAGAGGGCAGTAAAGAGATGACCCGAAGGCCATCGTGGTGGCCGAGCCACAGCCCAGTGAGGCATGCGCGGCACGCAGTCATGGAAAACAAAGCGCCACGTGAGAAGACCTTGGTGAGCAACATCGTGCTTCTTGTGTCGGCCATGAGTCGTTTCGTGTGGCAGGCTTCTCCAACTCTGCTGGCCAAGCTCCAAAAAGAAATGGAGAAATGCCAGGGAAGTCTGACTCTTTCGCAAAACAGCCTTAGCCACTTCCTGAACCTGAAAGACAGGCGGGAGCGTTGATGTAGAGAAGAGCTGCCACTTTGTGACCCCTAATGCAGCATTGCAGGTCATCCGAGCCTTTGCCGACCGATGAGGTGCAGATCCCTGCCCAGGAGATCAAGCTGTGGTACCCAAAACTTGAGTGAAAAGCCGCAGCCGGAAGTATGAACATCTGGCATCAACTAGCAACCAAGGCGGCGGACACAGCGATGTGATGCATGCCTCGCAACATGACACGACTCTCTGGTGGTTCCTCCCAGGAGGCCACTGCCTGAAGCGTCCGCGCGAAGCTGCAGAGGCGATGCGTGCGCCACTTATTGGAAACACGTGGGATGTGGCTTTCCGGAATCACTGCCCCACTTCACGCATATTAGCAAGAGCGCTCATGTGCAATTTCGCTGCATGTCGAAATTACACATCAGGTTGTCTGATAATGGATAGCGGTTCCAAGCTGCCGTAAAGCTATGTCATCACTTGTAGGGCTCATTGGCAGCAACATCGGCTCAAGTTTTGCATTCCGCGTGCTTCGCGTCTTGGAAAGCTCTCGCGACTGGTTGTGAAGTGAGATGCAGGAACACAGGCTCTTGCTTGGAGGTTTGAGGTTTTTTGAGGAGATCTTGGCTTGAGAAGCCCATTGCGGCCTAAACGGCCCAACTGTTGTGGGTTGTTAGTATGCCATCATGCCATCTAGACTGGAATACCACAGCACATTCCCAAATCTCCGAGATCCGTGCTTCCGAAGCAAGGACAGTCATGGCTGAGACTTTCGCGTTTAACGCTGACATCCAGCAGCTGATGAGCACCTGGGCCGTTTTCTTCACTTCCATTGGGAGTTCGGAATTGGAGAGTGTAGCCGTTCAGCCCCAAAGACTGACTCCCAGAAATTTTCCACGACATCCTTACAACGCCTGAAAGCGCTGTTGGTCCGTCCTTTTCGAGCGGTGAGCAGTCTCTTCTCTGAACACGCCCGGGCAACCAGAAATAAACAGTGTACTGCTGCCGAGGCTTGATCATCAACACCTTCTACTCAAACAAAGAGATCTTCCTTCGAGAGCTCATCTCCAACGCCTCGGACGCAGCTCGCAGCACTTCAGTGATTCGGGGCTCTGCCCCAGGCCCTAGACTCTGGCTAGACCGCGGCTCGACCATCAACGCAATGTAGTTGTAGGAGCCTCACGACGGGCGCATCCTCACCCGATGACATGATGCAACCTCGCTTGAACTCCTGATCTAACACAGGCTCTGGACAAGATTCGCTACGAATCCATCACTGATCCAGATAAGATCGAGGCACGGTTGGGACTCTGTTGCTTCAAGGTGTGGATTCTGATCTTCGCTGCTAGCACTAAGTGCATGTCAGCATAGTGCCTGGAGCGACACAACAAAATGCTGCTGGAGGCTCAGCCCAACTTCTTCATCAAAGCTCCTGGGTCTGTTTCAGAATCGGGTCTTGTTCAAGAGCCAGGCATTGGGCGAAGCTCATTGCAAGAGTATCGACCAAGTAAAGACAACCTCTGCTGGCTGTCAACAGCGTTCGATGGTTTGGTTGCATAGCTCGACTGCTGTTAGAGGCCCGCATGCATCCTTTCCCGAAACTGCATTCTTTGCGTGTGCTGCCTGAAATATGCATGGCCCTACCTCTGAGATCATCCCGGACAAGACCAACTCGACCCTCACCATCGAAGACTCTGGTATCGGCATGACCAAGAACGATCTTCGGTATGGCATATGGCTTATCGCTGGTAGCAGAGTGCAAGAAGTGCTGGGATCGGTCTTGCAGCCGAACTGTTTTTCTTGTCACCTCCCCGAAAGCAGCTGGCTAGCGGATCCCTTCAAGACGACCTCCTCGCCCTCGACGAAGCAAAGCCCTGCTGAGATGCTGAGGAGTTGATCAACAACCTCGGGACCATCGTGACCCGATCGATAACTGCAGCGTTTATCCTCGTCTCTTGTAGGAGGGTTTTGGAACTTGCGTAGGTGGCCGGGGACCTCGGGCTCGACCGCCATGGAACTTAGGCTATGCAATGCCTCCCCGCTTGACTGAGGCCAAGTCTGGCACCAAAGCCTTCATGGAGGCAGGAAGAATCGGGTGGTTAGGGCAGCATTTCGACTCAGCGGAGTGCGTCCGTTGTTCCGAAGAGCTTTGGGTTGAGCTGCGCAGTCGCGACGCCAGCGAAAGACCCAGCAAAAGTCAAACAAAATGCTTTCCCACTTGCCAGTTGGACATGTTCAGGGAACCGGATTCTGCAGGCAATGGCAGCCGGTGGGGACATCTCCATGATCGGCCAGCTTCTGGTATGCAGGGATTGGTTGATGGGAACGGAATAAAGGATTTATATGCTTACTCAGGCCATTCGTTTCCAAAGCTACTCTTGCTTGCACCTCGACCGTCCTTGCGCTGTAAAGCTCTGACCCGCACTTCCGAAGGTTCGGCGTCGGCTTCTACAGCGCATACCTGGTCTCCGACAAGGTTCGTGTCGTCAGCAAGCACAACGATGACGAGCGGCTTGTCAATTGGGTTGTTCTTCGGCCTAGGATGCAACGGGGGGTCGTGTTAGAATTTGCCTGCTGGGCAGAGCAGGTTATGCACGGTGAGCATGCTCACATTAATGCTCCTCTGTGCTTTGATGTTTTCTCAACAACTTGATCCGATTAGGGGCGCACCGCCCATCTTGGTTATGCAACAGTATCTGAGCTCTGCTTGGCTTGTTAAGCAAGACTCTTGTCTCAGAGAAAAGTACGGCCCGTTTGGGGTCCAGTGACAGCGACTGAGCCTTCCCGTCGCCTACGGATGCCTACAGCTGGGGGCTTTCCAAACAAAGCAATTCTCAAGGCGGCTGGGGGCTTTCCAAACAATTCTCACAAGGCAATACGGCTGGGGGCTTTCCAAACAATTCTACAAGGCAATACATCTGGGAGAGCGGCGCCGGCGGGTCCTTCACTGTCCAGAAGGCCAGCGTGTTGCTCGTCTTGTGTCGGAATGTCGGACATGCTTGGCGATCATTAAAGCCTGAGGGGAATGTGAGGAAGTGCTGGCAGTTCGCGCATACAGACAGCAGGTTCGAAGGTGTTCAGGGTTGGGGCGTGTTGTGTGGCATCCTTCTGCAAAGTGATGTGAGAGAGGACACTGAGCTGGTGCACGGCGAGATCAAGCGTGGCACCAAGATTATCTGCTACCTCAAGGAAGACCAGTCCGAGTTCCTGGAGGACGCTGAAGTTCGAATTTGTTGTGTAGTGCAACTTGTTGCACGGAGTGACATGTACGAGCGTCAGCAGCAAGGACTGCGCTCCGCAGCTGCTGACCGCTCGAGATTGCAAAGCTTTTTCAGACTAGCCGCTCCGCATCGCCGCGCCATGGCCGATGCATCCGCGCCCGTCTTCCCCTCCTCCGCGACGCAGAAGCTGGAGCTTTTCAAGAAAGCCAGCGAAGTTTTTCGCAGCATGGAGGAGCTCTCTGACGATGACATCAGAGTGCTGATGAGAGCGTCGGGCGCATCGCAGTGCAGACGCATGTTGGGTATCGGCCACGATGCCTTGCTGTCGCTGGATGGTCAATATCGCCAGCGCATAGCGGCGAGGGACGCGGCGCTCAACCTCGCCAAGGCACACATGACAGCACAAGGTGTCGTGATGCAGCCGCCGGCGGTCACCAGCAAGACGGCGGTCAAAGGAGATGGCAAAGGCGCCGCTGCGCCCACTACAACGCCGAAGTCGAGTACCACGCCGCCGCCGCCGGCTACACGACCAGGTGCTTCCTCTTCGAGTGGTGGCCAGCCTGCTTCCGCGCCGCCGCCTTCGCCGAGTCGACCAGCAGCTTCGTCTACACGTGGTGGACAGGCCAGCCCGGTGCCAAAGGAGGAACCGCCACTCCCTCCTCCCAAGACAGTACCGCCGCGCGCCGCCACGCATGCGAAGCCGGCCAACAAGCCAGCACAGATGGCTGCCAAGAAGACATCGCAGCCCGTGGTGAAGCGCCCGCCGGTCATACAGCCAGTCGACCCCTTGGCGGCTGTCTTCACGGAGCCTTTCATCGACTCGGTGCCGGCCGATGTCGACTTGATGGTCTACCCGACGGAGGCACCGAAAGAGGAGCCACAGGTCCACACAGCTCCGCCTCGCCCCGACGCTGGCTACATGGACTACCTGGACATGATCGCACCCGACCTGGAGTTCCACATGCAGGCCGCGCCCGCGCCGCAGTACAATCTGCCACCCGTCCCGGGCTCCCCGCTCGCCAGCTCAGAAGAGGGCGGTGCAGGCGACAACCAGCTGATCGACCTCGACAGGGAGACCGAGGAGGACCCCATGGACGACCCCGAGGACCACGACCGAGGGGACGACGACGATGGAGACGACCAGGGCCCGCCTCGCATCGTGCAAAGGTTCGTTCTATGCACCGCGCCTGCCGCACCGCCGTGGGACTCTGGAGCCGCTGCCTCGTCAGCAGCCACAGTGGGCGACACGGAGCAGGGTGAGCAGGAAGCAGCGGGGGATGCAGCAGCCGCAGGTGACACGTCAGGCGGGCAGCCAGCTCCGGTACAGGACCCGCCCGTCGCGCCCGCCCCGCAGAGCAGCTGGCCACCTCAGGACCAGGTGGCGCGTGAGGCCCGACGAGCTGCTCGCAGACAGCACGAGGTGGACGCAGAGGCCCACTGGACGGACGAGCCCGACCCATGCAACGTGCTCCCGAACGAGACGAGCACCATATGGTCGCTCCCGCCAGGTGTTCCCGAGCAGCCGGTGCCCTCGCGCTACGCCGACTCGCGCGTGCACGGCTTTTGCAACCTCGGTTGTGAAACACCGAAGAGGCACCGCGCGGACGTGTGCTTAGGCCGCTGTTTCAGGCCCATCATACGCACGAGCAGTGGCACTGTACATAAGCACCACTTTTGCTCGCCGTGCGACAGAGCACGCACCGCCAGGACACGCTGAGATCAGTGTCCGGGTGCCACAAGGGTCTTCGATCTTCCTCGCCTCGCAGAGC